ATATTTGGCGGCTGTGCCGTTAGGACTAGCAAACACGGCATCTGACGCTGCGATCGCACAGCGGTATAGGGGGTAGCGTGCTGCCGGAACAGCCGCCAAGTATCTTCACTGTTTAGGACTGCGTCATTGGTAGTGCATGAAAACAGTGATTAAGAAATGAATGGTTTATGGGCCTAATAATTATCAAGCGCTACTTCCAAAACGAGTACATATGCGTTTAAATACTGTAATATACAGTGTTGAATCTAACTTCATTTAAAGTTCAAAACGCAAACGAACAAAAATAGTCTTGTGGGTTGGTGAATGTTATGTTAAACTGAATAGTTTGTCAATTCTGTCCAATACTATTGGGTGTTCCTTACGCACATTTTTCAAAGAATGATTATTAAAAAATTGAAAATATACTAATGAAAAATCAGTTAATTATTAAATAATATGCATATGTCTACTGCTGCAAGAAAGGGGCTAATCTTCATGAGTGCAGAGGTCCACTTCAAAAGGCGGCCTAGAGAACGGTACAGTATTAATTTTCCCTATTGTATTGTTTTGCGCATGTGCAGTTGACAGTATTAGGAGTTCTCCATTTTATATCGCATGTGGTCACAGTGTTCATGTAGCCAAATAGCATTAAATGCATGTTAATGTACTTTAAATGTAAGATTTGTGTACAGTTAATTTGCAGGGCAGTGTGATCTATTATGTTAAAACTGTGAACATGTGTTAAATATTCTGTTTACATCCAGTTGCAGTGTAACCGAACATAACCTCTGGCTTCAGTGAAGGAAAAATGATTGGTTACTTCGCAACGAATAGCGAGACTGGTGACTTCAATAAAGGAATCTTCTTGGTTATGTGTTGACGTGAAACGGGGTGAGGGGGGGGGGCTACTGGCTTGAACAAAAGGTTTTAATTGATTATGTGACGAGCGTTACATTCTGTGCAAAAGATTAATATCCCCAATTCGTAACATAATGTAGGCAAAACCTTGGCTCGAATCCCGGACGGGACTGTTTATCTTAATAGAAATAACTCTTATGAGTTGTGTTTATGACTTTAATACAGTTTAATCCACCTATAATATAAAGAATCTTGTTTTCCCTGTATCTTTCCTTTCGTAGTTGGTAGTTACCAGGCAGCCATGCTGTTTAATGCATTAACACGTTGGTTGGTATTTTCATGCCTTATCACCGTGCGGCGCCACTGTGGCGACAAATAATATGAAAGTTATGTGACATCGCATCTCTACGTTCTCATAAACTGAATTTAATGATAAAAAGTGTGTAAGGATTGAGCCAAGATTTATATTTCAGTTAGAAGGTTATCTGTTGCACTTTATATAGTTTACAGACTATTATTTATGAAATGTATTAAAATGCTGATAAGAGGTTTAGTTAGAAGCGTTATGTAATAGTTTGTGGAAGGTGTGTGGTAGTACCAAATCTTTTCTTGTAGCCAGTTTTTTTTAGTGAAAAACGGGTGTCTAACTGTTATTAATACAGTGTGAATCTGAACTTTTGGATTACGTGTTTCGTAAAATTAGTAAGTGATACGAACTCACGATAAAGGATTCTCTAGGGAAGTTCATTGCAAGGTAAACCGACCTTGATTAAGGCTGATCCTTTATCTCGAAGCACGCACTTGCGTTGTCTCATAATAATTGAACGTTAATCTTAGTACTCCTTGCCGTTGGCAAGCTTTGACGGTGTTCTAATTGGTTTCACAACTATATAAGCTATGCGTGGAGAAAAGCTTACAAGATTTAAATTATCTGAGACTATTTCTGCTCTCATATTAAAGTTGTTTCCTCTTCAAACGAATTGAATTTGCTACCAAATTTACTACGCTACTGGAATTCCAAGACTAAAATTAGATTAAACAGAATACAATGTCTTATCAGCAGATTTGTTTGAATGTGTCGGGGTTTTGCGTCCGAGACTTTACTTTGTGTTAACACGCCAGAAATTTGTCTCAACTTGTCCATCAGCAGAGTTTTGTACTTTAATTAAACGTCACCCACCGTGAGTGACGCAAGATATTAAATTATCCTGCACGTTGATTGTATTTTTGGAGTCTCCAAAACAAATTTTCTCAAAATCTACAGTGCCATGAGAATATTGAGATGGTACCTTAAAATAGGCCACTGCCGCTTCCATGGCAATCCCGCATTGTAACAGTTAATATTTATTTCATCTTCCATACAACATATGTATTTTACGTGTTTATTGACGTCACCTGTAACACGATTTTGTCTGCAAAAGTGAACATTTATACCGGTGACAGTTTAGAAAACTGCAATCCCCATTTTGAACATTTAAATGTACCTTTGTACTAATATTGGCCTGTGGGTTATGTGCATGAATTTTAAGAATTGACGGGGAGCGTAATTGGGGGAGGGGGTTGTGACTGGCCCTCTGTGGAAATTTTTCGTTTCCGGGCTTACTGAAGTAAGTTCGAAAATCTGAGTTGTGAGGATCTGACGATGGTGAAGATATTAGTTGTTGTCTTCTGCTTCGTGACGCTGTGCACTGGCAAGTATACACCTACAAACGTTGTCGAGAACAGTTTTGCAAACAAGTATCGTCTTAGTTTCGCCCGTGTTTGCAAACAGTCCGCAAACAATTCGGCGATTGTTATTTCCCCTTGCGAATTGGAAGCAATGCACAATGTTTGCAAATGTGTACGTGTTTCAGAACACGTCATTACTCTTCCGTGAGCTACCATCAAGGTAGAGTGCTCAGAATTTTAACAAGTGAGAATACGTTGAAGCTTAATATTTTGGAGCAGCGCTTTAAAATCGGTTGGTGTCATTCTGAAAAAGAAATTCTGAAGCCAGCTTTATCTTAAAATCTGCCAAAAGATTGTCTCGATACCTTTAAGAAAGTGCTTAGTCCACCAACTTAAAATATTTCTTCACCGCATTTCATTTAAGAGAAATTTATATCCAGCGCAGATTCTAGCCGCACGACCAGATTTTTTGAGCAGACTGGATACAAACCAGTTTTTCCGGACATAGTTGTCAGATTGTTCGCAAACACGGAAACTGACTGTCCTCTGGGTTGTTGAACCGTGTGGTCTGGTAGACGTTTAACGGAGTGTCAGAGCTTTACTCATCGCCTTGACGACGGAGTCATCACACACCTTAGAAACGTCGGTCAACTTATAGCACATTGCAACAACCCAGAAGACAACCATCTTAACACTCGCCGCCATGAGAACCTTGAAATCTCACTGTTTTCCAAGAATGTTTGTGGGTGTATACGAACCGAAAAACGGCAGTCGAATTTCGTTCTGCCCTACTTCGAAAAAACAAACCAGTGACCGCCTTTTACCGAAATGAAATATAATAGTACTTGTGTCCTTGTTTTCTAAAAAAAATTGTCTGAAATTGCCCAGTTTGGCTATAGCTATTAGTTACGTGGCCTGTTTTTGTAACAAGTTTTCGTCAGATTCAAGTGGAGATGAGCACCATTTTCGGAGATAAGACCTTGTTGTTACTATAAAAGCCATCGTAATATAGTATATAGATAGGCGTAATAGCCAGTGTCTTTCCTGTCCAGCCTTCTCTGTATGTCTAGAATGTCTTGTCGTATAGAAAGTTGCAAAAAGAAAGTTCTTTCCCTCTTTTTTCATGAAATAACAATGAAGTTTGATGGCATGGACATTAAGCACAGAGCGGGTTCTTTTCATCAAATGTGCGCTCAAAATATCGTAAAGAGAGATGTCTATTCGAGCCATATCCATTAAGAATAAATTATTAATACTTGGATTTATAATATTATTCGTAGGCTGTTCAAAAAAATTCTAAATAATCATATCATCTAAACCGTGAATCTGATAAAAAAAAACATAAGAAATTTGTAGGTAAGTTTTGAGGAAGGAATTAAGTTGTCAGTGTGTTTATACATTTTGGTTATAGCGTGCGGGTAGTTGAAGTTTTGTAACATCCAAAAAGAGTATGAAAAGCAAAACACAGACCTTTATTTCTTGTAATTTAGGCTACTTAGCAGCGCCTTCAATTACTCTGGATAATATATTGGAAGGGATTAGGAACGAAGCAATTGTGGCCTAATTTAAAGTACTATCCTGACATTTTTCTGGAAGGACCGAGAACAAACCACAAAAATCCCCAGTCAGGATATTCTATTTTCTGGCAGAGATTCTATCTTGGGACTTAACATACGTTTTGTGCAAAATTATTTGCCATTGAATCTCAACAGTTTAAGAGTTATTAATTATTTTATAAAATTATGAACTGTCTCCAGGGAGTCAGTTGGTGCATCATCACTTAATACACTGCCTGTCTTTTTTTTCCTCCGATAACACTGAGGGGGGGGGAGTTTTTACTCCGCATTAAACAATCTTTAAAAAGTTTTCGGTAAACATTTTCTGGTGCATTGAAGTCAACCCTAAAATCTCTCTACTGTGAATTATGCCCAAAACTTTCAATTCACAGAGAGACAGGACTCCAGATGCTGTCTTGTACGTGAGGGTTAAGAAATATGAGCACAGATTTGCTTCTTTCGACGCGTGAGGGCGACAGTAGCACCCTGAACGGGCATTTCTCCACACGCCTTCCAGCTTATGATATACTGTGTAGCCGAGGACGTGCTTGTCCTCAGAATCAAGATTAAAATTGATTCTTTTTCAAGTGCGTTTGGTAGGTCGTCTCGTAAGTGGTTACCAACATAGCGCTTTCATCTTAAGAGTGAAATGAGGATGAAGACGGTCGATATTATCTTCCGTAATGTTGGCGACCGTGTACCAACAGGACCGCATGGCGTCGGAGCCTATAACACCGCGGTCCACGTAGTACGCAAATATTTTACCTGGTAGCAGATGGTAAGGCATTTCACGACACCAAACGCCGTCTAGAATTGTCGATAAATTGGTTTGGTTAGTGGGTGTGACGTTTCACTGTGTACAGGAGACTACATTTTTTATCGGTTGAGTGGTTGGTTCGCTGTAGCGAGGATTTTGTTCGAATGTGGCTGTGATTGCAGGTGACAGCAACAGATGGTGACAAGGATCGACCACAGAACATCGTATACTTCCTAACGGGTCAGGGCATCGATGCTGATAACCCTTCGAACAGCAAGTTTGATATCAACCGGACAACAGGCCTGATCTTTGTTCTGAAGGTAAGTAGAAGCAGCTGACTCACAATGGCCTCGTTACAAATTGTATTTCGGGAGATATTCGTTTCGACTCTCGGTCAGATTACTGGCCCCCCTGAGGTTTCCATTGCCCTTACTTGATACTGCTTTTAAATAGGCTACGACTCTTTTAATCCTATGTAATCATACCCTAATGTCTTTAATTTAATTCTAGCAACTGCTATGGTCTGGATTAGACTGACTCAGGGCAGGTTCCACGGGGGGAGGGGGCTGTTGTGAACGCGATCATCCGAACGGTTTCATAAGGGTGACAGGAATATTTTGATCAGCTGAACGACTATCATCTTCTCAAGAAAGACTCTTCCCCGTTGTTTTAGTGATGCAGTCAGTGGCTCTCATATTTCTTAACCACTTTTAGCGTATTCTCTGAATATTCCGAATTGAGTGCCAGAAGACAGCCATCTTAGGGCTTTGGAGTAATTTAGAAAGTGAGAACGTGTTTTATAAGTTATCGCGATATTTTCATTGACTATGCTTATGAAATAATACAGATGGGACGAACTTCTATCGGAAACTGTACGAACTACAAGGATGAAGAGGTGCAGCTGGGCGCTGAATATAGTAATTAATTTTGGCGTGTCGAGACGTCTGTTAGACGAGCGGACGGACTAAGCAAAATTAATTCTCTTGTTGTTTCATGTTGCATTCTTTAAACAAAAATGTAGCTCTCGTGTGAAGACGTGAAGAATGTATGTAGAAAAGAAGAGACAAATAGCTCAACGGAAACATTAATTATATCTTCAGAGTGTAAAAAAGACGTAGCTGTTAACTCTACTGCTCTCTGGCGACAAGAAGATTAATCTCTGTTTTGTCGTGGGGAGCCATGAATGGGTTATTGCTTTCTGAACGCATTGCTTGTTTAGTGTTTCACGCTCCAGGTATTGCTTTTCTTCATCAATCATGTGTACGGCTTAACGCCACACGGTTTATGGCCTCTTATGGACTGCGAGAAATATGGAGCTGGCAGGTGGAATTAGTTAACACTGCTGTCATTTTTACTGCGTGCTAAGAATGAAGGTTTCCACTGTGTTGTTTTATTGTCTCTTGCAAGGCATCTCTCTTTAGTCTGCGCTTATATTCCTCACCGATACTTTGTAAAGAAGGAGGAGAAACTCTGGCAGACGTTACTAATCTTGACATGAGGTCTCAAGGACGTTAAGTTGTTATTGGTGGTCGTATTCTGGTTTATTACCTGTGGATTTATAGTTGGGCACAAATGTTTTGGAGGAACATACTATCTCCATCCTCAGCCTTGAAAGTGGAGGCAACATGTTTCTTTGAAACGTTGACACCCACTTACGAGTCCACGTGACGTCAAACTCCACATAATGAAATCTTGTTTTAACTTAGGAATGTGGTTTAGTGAATCTTTTGCTTCCATACCGAATGTAGGGTCCATCCAGCCACCTATCTGGTGGGTACCGGTGGCCCTTCGCCGGGGGTGAAGTGGTTGGTACGTGATACACACCACTCACCCTCATCTAGTACCGAGGTCGATGGCGTATACCGGAGACAGCTTTTCTTTGTACTTATTTCGTCTATTTTAGATGTGTTTATTTCACTGAGCACTTTGTTTTTGAACTCCTGATTTCAAATTTCATGAAAGCAGAGTCATTGTCGTTTAAATTATATAATCTTTAGTTGTTTTCGAGATAAGATACGACCCCAGATAATTATGAACTTCGACCCTAAATAATTATCCTAATTAAGAATCATCCCGTCTTGTGTTAAGATTCTTTTTCGTAGTTTTGGCTTCCGGTAAATGTTACTCAGATTGAGATCCTCGTAACGTGATTTGTAACACGGGAAGCTGCTTACGATGTACTAATATAATATGGAAAGAGGATAATGACTGTCATAAAGTTGTGATATCTTCGTAATAAAAACGCAGTTATAATACCGAGCCAGGCTCTTGGTAACTTGTACTGGCAGGATGCGTACTTTATTAGAACAGATTAACAAAGTTTCTTGCCCGTCACGAGCTAGAATATCGTACAGTTGGTCTACAACTTGTGGTTCGCTAGTGTCGCGACCTGCGATTAAAATTCACGTTGCTGCTTATATTTTTGCGATTAATGATAATGCTGAAATTACAAGAAAATTTACTTACTTGTTTAAGGGCAAAAGTGAACAAGTTACCTGCACATATTTTCCACGTTCGTCCCCCCCCCCTTTATGTTCATTCCTCCATATCCGAATTTAATTCGCTTTCTCGGGCTGAGTCGCCATTTTACTACCATGTCAACAGTTGCTATCTCAGTTGATATGTCTCTCCTCCCGCGTAATACAAAAAATTGTTGAAGTTCTTACGTCATTTGTGTAATTTTTATTTATTTCGCCAAATATTATCATTATGATAATATGGTTGAAATTCTCATAGTGGAAAAGTATTATTTACACTTGTATCTATAATTTAATTTCTAGTCGTTATTTATTAGTATCACGTAAAAGGCATTCAAATCTTGTTCAAGTACGCGATTGACAGCATAAACATCGATAACAACCAGTTTGCGTTCCGGAAATATCTGCCCAGTAATTTGCTAAGTTGGTCATATTCGATTGATTCTTGTACTAATCACGTTATACGGCAGATTGATGTTCAAAGAGAACAAATGCCATGCCCAAGAGTATGGAAGTGGTGAAGTTGAATGGCTCGGATCGTGCCCCCGAGGAATGCGGAATGAATTTACCGCCCCGAATGTCACATTTGCCTGCCTGTAACCTACCAACGAAAACACATTGTTATTCTATTCGAGTGCTGTATCGATAAATCAAAATGTGTTTCTTCCGGGGCTTACAGAAGCGTAGAACTATATTTTATCCGCGGAGGGACGCTGGCACAGCTAATACCACACCGCTACAGTGTATCCAACCGCTGCCAAAATGTTTACAAAGCGTCTTGCTACGTGTGGAATTTACTAGACTTCAAGTACTTAACGGTGTTTCCAGATTCCTTGTACCTGGATTACAGTTTCCTGGCTGTATATGTTTATCATTAATTGATTTTTCCAATCGTTTACTACGCTAATGGTCTTGGTAGGACCCAAGGCTCCCAACAGTTTGTCCTATACATGTTTAATTATTTATAACATGATTAAGCAACCTCGAGTCGCTGGTCGCATGTGGCCCTCTGATCATTTTTATGCACACTTTGTAGATGTAGGCCCACAACGTCAGACAGATTTTATTTCTCAAGGATACATTGTCCCGCTGTTCAAACTGTATGAAATTTAATGACACAAGTTTTAAAAATCGACAGTGTCTTGGAATCCAAACTTGTAAGCTAGCAAACAACGACAGTTGTTTTCATTGTAAAAAAATGTAACTTTTTAATTTGTTCTAATGTTTATACGTATTTATGCATATGTACTTGTATACGCATGCATTATCTGCTGCAGAAATAACTTCCGTTATACGGGGGGGGGGATCCTTCTTTGACGAGCTGATAGTCGCTCAGCTGGTAAATGAATTATCCACGTGTTATGGAACCGGAAGTTTCTTTACGATGTTTGCAAGGTCCCACTACTGGTCTCTGTCCTTGACACCATTTCTGTGACATCAGCGTTAATATTGTTCTCTTAGTATGCACACATCTCTCAAATGGACTTGGCCCTTCAGATTTTACTTCTAAAATGTTGTGTACAGTTTCTATCTTATCTTTTTCATGCGTGTTGCATGCCCTGCCCATCTAATTCTCCCTTATTTGACCATTGTAAAAGCAGCAAATCGTGAAACTTCACGGTGAGCAGCTCTTAAAGTCAGGCACTGTTTGGTCTGGCGTAAACACACCAGATCTCTGACTGTTTAGTTCTGGCCGAATCTGTTTATTGTACTTTACATCAGTTTTTCATCAGATAAACTTGCATGACATATTACGTTATTTCTCTTATACATATATGTATGTGCGTGTGTGTGGTTGTGTATGACTACAGCCTCTGGACCGAGATCAACCCAATGGCCGACCACAGTGGAGGTTCACAGTATTTGCTCAGGATGAGGGTGGAGAAGGGCTTGTCGGCTACGCAGATGTGCAAGTTAACCTCAAGGACATCAATGACAATGCACCCATTTTCCCGCAAGGAATTTATTTTGGAAATGTTACAGAAAATGGCACAGCAGGTAAGTAATACAAAATGTTACGAACGTGGAATTGTGAATGCCTGTCTTATGAAAGTTGTTACAACGTGAACAGATTATTTTGTACTTACGCAAAACGTTAGGGTGATTAAGTCCAGGAACAAAATGTAAATGGGGCATGGCATAGTTCTGGTTAGAAAACATAAAGGGAAGACGTGAGAATAATATTAAAGTGGATCTCATAGAAACAGAGTTTATAGGTTAAGGATCGGAATCTTGTCAGTATAACCATTTTGTTTCCATAAAAAGCAGGGAATTTCTTGACAATCTTGAGTGACTGTCAGTAAGTACATTGATCTGGGGCATTGATTAATTTAGTTCTGATCAAATCATCAACATTTTCGGCAGATATTAATTAATAAAATAAATGTTTGCGCAGCTCCGAGTATATAAATTGTTGATAGAGTAAACAGTAAATACAAAAGAGTTTCTCCAAATAATCATAGGCGGCAACATGTGTTAGATTCTGAAGTCATGTAAGTGTACAGGAATTTATTCAGAAGGCTTACAGAAAAAAACATATTGTGTTCAGGAATGGTGGTCATGACCATGACAGCGGTGGACTATGATGACCCCAATGAAAGCACCAATGCCAGACTCATCTACTCCATAGAGAAAAATGTAATCGAAGAAGAAACAGGCTCGCCAATCTTTGAGATTGAATCAGAAACTGGAGTGATCAAGACTGCAGTATGCTGCTTAGATCGAGAAAGAACGCCAGATTACTCCATACAAGTCGTAGCTATGGATGGAGGTGGCCTCAAAGGTAAAGCCCAGAAGTAGCTGTGTTTTCAGTTGTAAAGTGATAATGCCAATTGTGTGTTTCTAATTTTTTAATATTATGATCCGTCTTGGGAAGTTTACTTACTATCCATGATTTGTAGAATAACATTGCAGAATTTGATCTGTAAAACATTCATAGTGTATAGATTCTTTCTGTAGACCAGTGTTCCACATATTTTTCCCTGCAACACACCATAATTTGGTTGTTTTAATGCGTGAGTTACTGCACGTCAACTGACTGCCTATCCAGTTAATTGACTGCTTGAATAAAATACTGTAACTTTTGGTTGGTCCTCCCTGTAAACTGTGTCGATATATTGACTGACATCAAATAAAGATTAATATTATAGCGCGCAGTATTGTTACAGAAATATTCCATCTATAACATATTCTGCATGGCAAGAGTGTTTGTCAGTAATAAGAAAAGAGTTAACACATGCTGATAGTTCTGCTTATTCTGCCATTAAAAAATTGGGTATGATAAAAAAATTTCCAAACTGAGTTTTTTTCTTTATACTGTACATGTTTGGCAGCTGCTCAGTCCTGTCTGCTTTAAAGTAGTTTCCTTTGAACCCAATATAGTGATTGTAATTATTCTGTTGTTGGAAGCATCAATGGAAGTCCTGTATTTTCAACTCCGCAAGTGTGGTTTGTGACTTTTATTTGAGTGTGATGACGTAGTCACATCCATTCCTCTTAAGTACTAACTTGTGTTTTGGGATTCAGAAACAGACCTGTAGGGTATGAAGGGTGGGGTCACAGTTGTGTTGTTTCCAGCCAGAAGTTCCTGCTCAGATAAAATAGAGTGAGCAGGAGAGTTGTCATGGTGTAGAAACCAGTCTTCAGTGCAGCATTTTGCATGTTTTTGCCATATATATTCCCATAGCTACAGACCATTTGTGTAGTAATGTTGTTTCCGTGATACAAACTCTTTTCTACGATTCTGTCTATATCAGAGAACAGTTCCTTTTATGTTCATTGTCTTTGTCAGTACCAGTCATTTGGTTTTGTCTTTTTGGAACCACTCAGATATTTTGATTTTTCTATGTTGACCCCTTTCAGAAGAAATGTTTAATATCTGATTGTTTTCTGTAGTAGTTTTCCCTAATTTGAAACAACATTATTTCAGTACAAGTCATTTCTGAATGACACACGATACAGTTTTGGAATGATGTGAAAATGATTCAGTAATGTGTATTCTACCACCATCTAGCAGGCAATTTTTGTACCAACTGTTGTGGTCCCACATTTTAGCCAGTTCTGGTACTTAAAATTAATCAATTTATGTTTGTTTGTTTTTCATTACATGAGATGTGAGAGTTTGTGTCAGTTAATAAGTAGAAGTTCTTTTATTGTTTCAATACATCTCATTTTAAGTGGATAATTACATATAAATTATTGTCCATAATGAATGCCTATTCTAGAGAGATGTGTCTCTGCTTTCAAAGTACCTGAATAAGGCTCTGATGATCAGTATTGGTTTCTAGGAACTGGAACAGCATCAATCCGTGTGAAGGATATAAATGACATGCCTCCACAGTTCACAAAAGATGAATGGTTCACAGAAGTTGATGAAACAGATGGAACAAATTTACCAGAGCCGCCAATTCTTACTGTTACTGTTCATGATGAAGATGAAACAAACAAGTTTCAGTACAAGGTACAAATAAACCTTACCAAAACATGTATTTCCATAGATGATTTTCCGTGACTTAATAGCTGATAAATTTAGAATCCTACAATTAGAGCTGAACATCAGAAGTATTAAACAAATATTCATTCAGCTCATATAGATTTTAAATAATAGTATAAAGGATTTTATTAACTCAGTGAATTCAAAATATAAAAACATATTGAAAATATTTGTTTGTAGACGTTTTGAACAAATTAAATTTTAACTTCTGAAATTTTAGTTTTATTTTAGAAATAAACAAGAAAGTGCTTCAGATGTTAAAAAATACTTTTAACTTCTGCTTATATTTATGATCCTACATTTATATTTACACAGAAATATTTTTGTTTATATTTGAGAGGGTGGCGAACGACTCCCTAGTCTGTGACATTTTTTTGGAAAAGTGACATTTAAATTTGAAAACTATTTCTTTATCTCTTTGATTGTGGAAGTATATCATGTGTATATATATGAAATTAACATTTTGCTCAACAAAATCAAAGTTTCATAATTGCCAAACAAAAATTATAAATTTGTATATTTTGGATTTTGTTGGCAATAAGAGATGTATGCAAGCTTGCAGAACTATTCTGTAACAGAAGTTGCCTAAATCTAATGCTGGTTGTTTCTCAAATCTTCATCATTGGTTTTATCAATACATGCAACAGGAAATAAACAGGAAGTTGAGTGAATGAAATTGCAGTAACGAAAATTAGTATACTTCTGCCATTATACCAATCACTTTAGGCATTTGCCTCTGAATATTACATTATGTAATGTTACTAATTACTAAAATTATTCTCTTCCTCAGGTGATAGAGAACAGTGGATATGGTGCTGACAAATTCACCATGGTAAGAAATGGTGATGGGACGGGTTCTCTGAAGATCGTGCAGCCTCTGGATTATGAAGACCAACTCCAAAGTAATGGCTTTAGGTTCAGGATACAGGTCAATGACAAAGTGAGTATTAATTATACAGCCAGATGTCACTGTACTCACAGCTGTGACTCCATAGTACGGAGACAGCTTCATCTTGTTTAAAACCATTCAGTTTGTTAAAATATTCTCTGTTGTGAGTAATCATGAGTCCATCAGTGTTTACTAAAGTCTGTCTTTTAGGCTGCCATTTTGTATTACATTTCTGTTACCCCATTCCTGTAGGTGTTGCTAAACAACAGTGAAATATTCAGAGGAATATTTTCATGGTTATTAATATTTAATTGTCATCACGCTCTATTTTATTTTCAGGGTGAAGATAATGACAATGACAAATACCACGTGGCCTACTCATGGGTGGTAGTGAAGCTGCGAGATATCAATGACAACAAACCACAGTTTGAGCGCCCCAACATAGAGGTTTCAGTATATGAGAACGCAGAAGTAGGGAAGAGTCTGGAGACCTTCAAGGCAACTGATCCAGACCAAGGTGGAAAGAGCAAAGTGAAATATGCCATTGATCGCACTTCAGATCGAAAACGCCAATTCTCTATCAATCAAGAAGGAACAGTCTCCATCCAGCGTAACCTGGACCGCGAAGAGACACCTCGACATCAGGTAGGTTATTGTCATTGTTTATGGATCCCATCAGCACTGAACTATGCAGATGAAGTAAAAAATTAAAGTTTAATCTGTATGAATACCTACATTCTTGTAACAAATCACCAGTCCTTCTGTCCTTCATTTAAACCATGTTTCACTTTCTTTTAGCTTTTGGTTAACCCCTGTCTTATGTTTCTTGCAGGTGAAAGTGCTTGCCATCGATGACGGTGTTCCACCAAAGACGGCCACAGCCACGCTTACTGTGATTGTACAGGATATTAATGATAATGCACCAACATTCCTGAAGGATTACCACCCAGTTCTTCCTGAACATGTGCCCCCCAGGAAAGTGGTGGAGATTTTAGCAACTGATGATGATGACAGATCAAAAAGCAATGGACCACCTTTCACATTCAGGATGGATCCTAATGCAGATGACATCATCAGAGCCTCATTCAAAGTTGAACATGACCAGAGTAAGAATCAGTTGTTACTAGATTTTGGATTTATTCTATTGTGAGGAGATTGATGATCTTCTTTTGGGTTTTGCGCCACATAGACTTGTCATTAGATACCAGTGTTTTGGAGAAATTTACTGGCTCAATCTTCAGCCCTGAAAATGGAGACAATGTGATGCTCCAAAGAGAGTTCCATACACATAGTTTCATGTTGTTCAGTGAGTTTTTTCATCACACATCATGAAGCAATCTGTAAAACTGTTGAGCCCTACTGCAATCTATTTAACTTTCAGGCATCAGTTTCCATAGATTTCAATAGGTTTCACACCTTTTGAACACAGAAATTGAAATGCTTATAATTCTTTCTTTGCTGTTTTCTATAAATATAGCAGTGTTATATGTTACAGTATTATTACTAATCAAAAGACAAAGAAAAATTAACTATGTGCAGGGGATAATATTGTTTAAAACTGTCACATTTCTCTGTACTGTGTAGTAAAATTGCCATCAGTTTTTAATTTTACTTCATCCACTTTGTAAAAATCTTGCATTACAGAGGGAGCTAATGGAGATGGAATGGCTGTTGTAACTTCCCTCCGATCATTCGATCGTGAACAACAAAAAGAGTATCTCATCCCTATTGTAATCAAGGATTCAGGAAACCCTGCAATGTCGGGCACTAGCACTCTGACCGTGGTCATCGGTGATGTTAATGACAATAAGATGCAGCCTGGCACCAAAGACATATTTGTTTATAACTATATGGTGAGTTACACAATATTAAGTTAGCGTTACTATATATATTATTACTTAAATTGTATTAAATTAGTTTAAAAATTATTTTAGTGACGTTAAATTGTCTACTCCTAAATAAGGTATAGCCTTTCACGTGGTCTAAGCAATGTACGATGAAGATGTATAGGAGAGTCAAGGTAAAGTTTCATACATTCTTAATCTCTGCAGTAGACGGGGGTGAATGGTCAACTTCAGGCGTAAGACTCGCTGCCCGTGAGGAAAGAGTCCCCTGTACCAATTGGATGTAAGGCTGAGTCAGCTTAACAGCTTGTGGGAATGAGTTAACAAAGAGAAAAATGCATATTAATCTGTAATTGAATACAATTTGTCAGTGAGGTGATATGTACTATTTTGTGTCATGTTCAGATATTTATATTCTGCTCTGTATTTCAACTATCAGAGAACTGTATTGAAATTATAAAAATAATTCCTTGAAAGTTATATGTTAAAATTGACACATATGCTGACATAGACAACAATTTCCAATGTATATTTACATGAACAAACAGAATTAAGGGACAGAGAAATCTGGGCCAAAAAACCTTCAATTAACCAATACTTCGGATTCTCATGTAGAATTATTGTCTTCACTACATGCATAAATATAAGAAATATTTTAAGAGATGTCCACAGTTGTAAGTCAGTGTTTTAACCAAAGAGGTTTTGGTTGTTACAGGGTCAAGCACCAGACACAGAAATTGGGCGTGTTTACGTGTATGATCTAGATGACTGGGATCTGCCAGACAAGAAGTTCTACTGGGAAGGAGCTGAGCATCCTCGCTTCAAGCTGAACGAGGATTCGGGCATGATCACAATGAGGCATGGCACTCACGATGGCCGGTGAGGGAAATAATTTTTCATTGCATGGATTAAAATTTTGAGGAATAACATCCTGTTACGTCATACTTGCAGCTCACCTAGCATTGGAAATGTGTTCTGAGAATTGACACATTTCTAATATATGTAAGGCGGACATAATCATTTATTATGTATGTGATATGAATTAGGTCTTCACCCATATATAATTCAACACAAAGAATCACAGTAATGTTTAATATATTTATTATCCTTGCCCCACAGTATAGCTTGACATGTGTTGAACTTTAGCGTACTGCTAAACGTTTAATCACATAGAGGAAGTCCTTCCATTCCCATAGTACTGGGATTTAAGTTACCTACTCCCATATAATAAAGGTTAATAATTATATAATTGATTATCTATTGATGTGTTTAATTCCCATTTATACAGATTCCCATTGTGTTAAGAGGAGGCGGGGCAGCTGAGTGCATTTTTAACTGTTTTTATTTGTTGCTTCAACATCAGTTATTGTCAATACAGGTATCATCTGAAATTCAAAGTATATGACCGCAAACACACCCAGACAGATGTACCAGCCAATGTGACAGTAACAGTGCGAGAGATTCCTCATGAAGCTGTGGTTAATTCTGGCTCAGTGCGCATTTCAGGACTCACTGATGAGGATTTTATTAGGGTCTGGAATTATCGGGTAAGTAGGCACTGAATTTTGGTCTATAGGTATCATTGCTTATAGTTGGAGGTTATTAGAGTTTGTGTGCATCACATATATCCACAGAAGTAATATACTGAAGAGAAAATGTGCGTCACAAAAGTGCAATGTCTGATGTCATGTTTACAGTTTTGCTTAGTGTTTAGCATTGTTTTACGCTGTGATTTCTACATTGTTACAGTTATTAGCTGGCAGTGTATTTTATTTTACTTTGATGCATCATATAGTATAATCTGATATGCAAGTTACACACACTACTACTTGATGATGGCTAATAAAGCTTAAATATATTGTAACAAGATGTACCTGATACAGTAACAGAAATTTTAATAGAATGACATTCGTTGTTATTATACATATGAAGTGTAATATGTTGTGTGTCCAATGGATTAATTAATCGAGTTTTCCTTAACAGAACGGTTCTTTATGAATTGTGCCCACTTGGTTGTTGACCATGTATACCTATTTCCACACTATTTATAAATCTTTCCCATGAATCCTGATGTGTTGCCCTCAATACACTCTGCCTATATTTCTTTTCTGCTTATATATCTTCTTTCTCTTCTGTACTAACTTTTTTCAATTATATTACAGTCACAAAGCCTGCAACGCAGCAAGGCAGACCGTTTCCGAGACCAGCTGGCTGACCTACTCAACACGGAGAGAGAAAATGTAGATGTGTTCAGTGTACAGTTACGCCGGAAACATCCGCCTGTGACAGACATTCGATTTTCTGCTCATGGTTCCCCCTACTTTAAACCAGTTCGACTCAATGGCCTTGTTTTAATGCACAGAGAAGAAGTAAGTACACTGAGAATTCAGCTTATCTTCCAGCAGTGAAATTGTTTGTGAAGTAATTAGAATTATGGTCTGAAGAAAGTTACTGAAATTTGGACAGCCCTCATTTTCCTTTTTGTACTAGTTAAATAATGAAGGATACATTGACTGTAATTATTAACTAACTTAAGTTTTTTTTAGAAACTTGATTGTTCCTCAGCTGGTAAGAAATTCCTTATTTTATGAAACATGTATTATACAGGTAGCTCTCGATTTACGCCGGGGATGCGTTCCTGGACGAACCAGCGTAAACGGAATTGGCGTAAATTGAAACTCTTTTATAATGTAAATCAATGGGAAGTCAATGACATGCGTTCCCAGCACCCAAACATTGACGAGTAATATAATGGCATTACATTTAAAGCTCTGAAATAATGTAAATAAAATAAAGGGAATTTTAAAAATATATTTTATACACTTGCATGCTTAATTGCAGAGATGACTGTATTTATAATTTTTATTCAAAATCAGCGATGTAATTGTAAAACGTTATAAATAATAGTAAAATATATTTTTTCACTTTTTTACTTTCAGATTTCAAAATCGGCATTATTCTGAATCTGTGCAAATTGAACCGGCACAAATCGAGGGTTACCTGTATGTACTATGTATAACTTGAATTATACACCAACAACTTTGGGGGTTCAAAATTGAAGAGAAATTATATCTGGGGGTATGCGAACAAAAAAAGGTTGAATACCACTGGTCTAGACTACATGGTGCACATATTGCTGTGCATTGTACCTTTTTTTTGTCCACTCCTCAAGTGGTATGTTTGATGCGCTATTTCACTTACTTTTGTTGTAAATTATCGATAACCTCACGATCCATTTAGTTATCACAGTTTTCAATCACAAACTCATTTCTACTGGTAATCAGTCGTACCACATGTTCACAAGAGCTCACCATTGCACCATATCCTGAGTCAGTTGTTGTTGTTGTTGTACTCGGTCTTTTTTGTGGATAGCAAAGCCACTGTAACCTTTCCTGTTCCAGTTGTATCCATTTGTTTTAAAACCTGATTTAATATCATCATCCCATTTGTGCCTAGATTTCCGATGTTGTTTCTTCGTTCAAGGTTTTATTGTCAAAATGTATGCATTTATTATTTCCTTCTACATGATAAATCCCTGCATGTCTCATCCTCCTTGATTTGGACACCATAATATAATATAGTGAAGAATACAGATTATGAAGCTTTTCATTATGTCAGTTTTTCTGCCCTCCTATTACCATTACTTATTATTATTGTTACTGATATCACCAGCATCAACATCATCATCATCAAAATCAAAAAGCCGAATAAAATGTCACAGAAGTGACATCATATCTGTTCCTTGTTTTCGCACTGAGTACCACACGAAATCTAACCTGAAAAGTGAAGAGCTTTGGATCAGTATTACTGACCTCTGTTGGTGCAACTTGTTATTTGCAGATTGAGAAGGATGTCGGTATCAACATCACAATGGTTGGTGTTGATGAGTGCCTGTATGAGAACCAGATGTGTGAGGGAAGTTGTACCAACACACTGGACATCAGCCCTCTGCCGTACATGGTTAATGCCAATAAAACCTCATTGGTTGGGGTGCGAGTTGATGTGATTGCTGAGTGCACATGTGGAGCTCGTAACTTTACGAAAAGCGAGTCTTGTCGCACTAATCCTTGTTATAATGGAGGACGATGTATTGAAGGGAGATATGGCCTTAGGTAAGCTTTAATGTCATCATTATGTACACTAGTAATATATATTAGTGCTTGGAGTATTCGTTATTTGTATTGAACGCACTGCATGATCCTATGTTCAGTTATGTTTATTCATTAATTTTAATTTTAGATTCTTAACTCTTTTCAAACTGGACATCCAATATAAAATGCAATTATGTAAGGAGGAAGAAAATGACTCCTTCCAAAAACACTCAAAATACAGATCATTAAAGTAGCAGTGTTGCTTTCACATGTTGGCAGAATTACTTATCACAACATGGAATAATGTAAATGAACTAGAAATAATATGGTAAAATCTCAGGCTATAGTCTGTCAGTGAATAATACAAGAGTATGTTGATTTTAGAAATATATTTATTTTATTTTGTTGGTTGTTGCTGTGTGACCTTTTAATTTAAATATATTCAATGGAGTAGTTTAAAGGATTTCAGGTGAAGAGTAATGTTTTAATGTTCTGTCTTCTAGTTGTTCATGTCCGACTGGCTACAATGGCCCTCGGTGTCAGCAGACTTCACGGAGTTTCCGCGGCAGTGGTTGGGCATGGTATCCACCACTTGACATGTGTGACAACTCTCATCTTAGTTTAGAATTCATAACAAGAAAAGCAGATGGCATGCTACTTTACAATGGACCAATAGTACCTCCAGAAACAGATGAAGTCCTGGTTTCAGGTAAATCATTATTTTCAGATTTGTGACTTCTTTGTATCTTTGTCATGATTTTTTATCATGTAAAGATCTGTGGTGGGAAGCTTCTGCTAAGTTTGAAAATTTTTACTGTGGTGCTCAGGGCTTATCTTTATTCTTGTAATAGTTTAGTTTACAGTCAGGACATGGCTCTTACGGTATAGCAACACTAGAGAACAGAAGAGACAAGTTTTTCTTGTTTTTTTTCTTTCAGTAATGCCCAACATTAAAAGTGTGTTCAAAATATGATTGTAAAACCTTTCCTTTTGAGCCCTGTTCAAATGGATCTCAATGTATGAAGATGATGGTATTTGCTAAATGGTTTTTGCTTGATCTGATATATTTTCTCTAATTGTAATGTAAAATGTTGCGATTACGCTGAGCAGTACAATGTCTGATGTTTTTGCTGTCTGTTTGGAAATAAGACAGGTTATAAAATCAGTATACTTCTTTCTAGTATTGTTATTGTGGACTGTGTGCCCATGTAATATACATCCATGTCTTGTAAAAATGTGATTTTCTGGCTGTGTGTATTGTGTCTTAACACATTCGCTGCTAAACACATCCATCTTTGATGACTTGATTTATGTCTTACAAGTGATTTTCTTTCACAAAACAATTTCCAGTTCCTTTGTAAACATGTGGTTGCCTCATGTCCATAAAATTACTGGTGTGAGGTGTGGGAAAGTAAATAATTCCATGGAAGTGAATACCTATACAAGATATATCATCCTAAAGCAGTATTAAAGATAACATGAAAATTTCATGCAATCACATTAAATATTTTTTAAGATATTTTAGTTTTTTCTCTTTTTGTTAAACACATCTCCACACTGAAAAATGGGTGGCACAGAGCATTTAAATCCTTTCTATGCATCATGCCAGTGAATATGTTAAAAAATGTTGGAAACTTTTGTGTATGATATTTGTAGTTGACATATGTTCTGTTTGACAGTGATAGCTTGATATTGAGAGAAATGCGTTTTTCATTTGTTTAAGATTTTATCTCTTTGGAACTGGAGAGAGGCATGCCTAGGTTGCTAATAGATTTTGGTTCTGGAACTCTGGAATTGCGAGTGAAAACGAAAAAATCCCTGGATGATGGTGAATGGCATAGAATTGATGTCTTCTGGGATACAGAGGTAGGAATAATCTGAGAAAAAGGAATATTATCATAGGAACAGAATGCTTCTAAGGAAGTTGTAATAATTTAATTTGTAAGATCTTACATTCATTTTGGTGAGTTTTCTAAGTCTGTAAACCTGACATGTTTTGTACTTTTACCTTGTATTCATTTAGAATGGGAGTGTCTGTCTCTGTTTGTAAATGGATAATGCAGAATGGGTGAGCACTCAGTATGAATTTTAACGCTGTGATGAAAGGCAGAACCAGATAGTTCATTGGCACTGTAAATTTTCTTAGGAGAATTAGGTGTATCTTCTGAAGGTTAATCGTACATCAAACACAGAAAGAAGCATTTGTTGCCATATTTTGTGTACATATTTTAGACACATTTTAACTCTTTCAAGTTGAGGATGAAATAGATCAGTTATGTTGATAAAAACTTTGAGTGCTTTGGCCAGAACTAATCTGCCAAATATTCACAGTGATGTTAAACAATCTTTTTAGATTTTACAGAAGAGAAAGAATAAAAGGAAAGCTAGTAAAGTGAATGTTATAGATCCTGTTACATGTAAATGTAAATAATATATGTTTAAATACGCAGGAATGGTGTATTCTAAAGACGTTCTAAAATGCAACTGACAGAAACGAAATGATTAAGACATAGATTCGACATTACTAAAGCTCTTATTTGAACAGAGGTATGCATTGAGCACTAATATTATTATTTCAGAATGTTCGACTAGTTGTCGACTACTGTAAGTCTGCAGACGTGGCTGAGTTGGAGGATGGAACACCCCCTGAATTTGATGACTCAAGTTGTCAGGCACATGATACTGTGCCACCTTTCAATGAGTATCTCAATGTGAATGCCCCATTGCAACTTGGAGGACTTTATGTTGAACAATTTGACCCTACACATTATCACTGGCAGTACATGCCTGTGGGCAAAGGCTTTGATGGTTGTATAAAGAATGTATTCCATAATAGCAAGGTAAGTTGTTAGTGTCCCACAAATAGGCATATGGTTTTTGTTTTTTATCCCCCCCCCCGGTTGCAGGCCTTTTGATCTGAGTGTACTCAATTTTATCAGTAGAATTCTCCCTTGCTGCAGTCAGAGTCATTTCAGGTGTTAAGAGCATTGTATTTGCTTTATTCTTTTTAGAATTTGTACTTAAACTTCTGATATCTTTGAATAAATGTTTTATGTATGTTTTTTCATATTTTGTGCACAATGTAAATAATTTTATCTACCATCTGTCTTCATTAACTTCTTTGTTTCATTGTGGCAGGTATGAAGCATTAGCACTCTAAAAGATGGTATTTCATGAAGAGATTTCAAAATATTATCTCTTGGAGGAGAGTGACATGATGAAAACAACGAGTTAATGAAAACAGACTGTCAATAAAATTACTTGCCCTGTGGACAAAATTTGAAATAACACATTTCAAATAGTTCTGTTTTATGAATCTGAACATATGAATATGCAACTAATTCCTCAATTAGAGAGTGATAAGGGAAAAAAAAACATGAAAACATTATTAAAACTAATTGAATACTGGAACATGCACTACAGCACTTCCTAATGTAGCAGGGAAATTCATATCCATTATATTACAGGAATAGAGAATTTAAACCCTGCTACCAGAGGGTTAATGGTTTAGCTCTATTCTTCTACAGAGCTTGACCAGTTGATAAATTATGAAAAATTTTAATCAGCTTTGTGTTCTGACACTCATGTTACTGTATTTTATGTGATGTTAGCTGTATTTATAGATCTAATAATTAAAACTATTGTTCTCAGCTTTATGACTTAGCAAATCCAGGCCTTACCCGGAACAGTATGGCAGGCTGCCCACAGACGGAAGATTTGTGCAACACACAGGATTCAACATTCCGGTGCTGGGAGCATGGCATGTGTGTGGGTAGCTTCTCTGAATCATACTGTCAGTGCAACCCAGGTTGGACTGGTCCAGGCTGCATCACTCCTACAGTCCCCACAACATTCAAACCTCAAAGCTACGTCAAGTATGCGCTGTCCTTTGAACCTGATCGCTTTTCCACGCAAATACAATTACGCTTCCGGACAAGAGAGGAGCATGGTGAATTGTTCAGAGTCAGTGATCAACACAATCGGGAATATGGAATTCTTGAGGTAAAATATGCCATACTTTTAACATGGGGTTTAAGAGGAGTTGATTTAATGAGGTAATGGTTTTAAGTAGGGAAGGGTTATGGTCTGTTGTATGAGAATTTCCCAGATGAACTTGGGAAAACTGGCATACTTCAGTTTGATCTCAGATTTTTTATACATTGTATTATTTACATGATACAAACTGCTTTATTAGTTGAATAATAATGAGAAAGTTTAACTTTTTTGCTATAAGGAAATCGAATCTGTAATTGTAATATTAACAGATATTATTGAAAATATTGACAACTTTCAGAAAACTTCAAATTGGTCTCAGACCTTATGGTTTGGAATTTCTTTATCTGACTGACATTACATCATATCCAATAGCAGAATAGTTTAATATCATATTTCACAGTATGGTAGTCCTTTTTTGTTTCTGTGTGTCTGTGACTCTGAGTTTCATTTTCCCTCTTAGTTTTCATTAGGCCTAACAATGTATTTTATTTTCTACAGATCAAAGACAGTCGGCTTCATTTCCGTTACAACCTAAATAGTCTGCGGACAGAAGAGAAAGATATCTGGTTGAGTGCCATAACTGTAGGTGACGGACAGTGGCACACAGCTAGGGTAAGCAAACTTTGTGTGTGTAACTGTTCAGGAACAGCCATTTATTTTAATTAACAGCAATGATTAACTGCATAGATTATTTTTGATTGGACAAGAATGATGGGTTAGTAAGGTTTAGAAAGTGTGCTTTCATGGGCAGTTGAGTCAACATTTGCTGGAGAGACTAGGGAAATTTTTTTAAGAAACTCTTCACAGTTAACTAGTAATGCAACCAATGTTTAAGCTGTGTACCTCCAAAATACAGTTCTAGAACATTGTTGTTACACCAGTCTAGCTAATGACTATATTAATTAATTATGAGTTGGAACTTAGTAAGGTAAGTAATTGTATATCAGACAGGTTACAATTTTGTCAGGAAAATCTGATGAGGTAACAGACTGCAACAAAAATAGGAATCTGTTTAAAAAATATGTTGATATAAGGCATTAGTTTCTTGACGATAGAAATGTAAATTTCTTAAAAATGGGTGCATTATGGAGAGGTCATGTATGTCTGTTGGACCTATCGTTGCACACTGCAGAAATGTCCCTGCACAAAGTTAGGTATGGTTTTTCCTCATACTTTTTTAAATACAGTGAAACCTCGATGCATCGTTTTCGGCGGGGGTGGGAAATAAAAACGATGAATGCGGGAAAACGATAGATGCGGGAAAGCATTAAAAATTTAAAAAAAAAAACAATGTTTCTCTTTCAAAGTTACTTCTTTTTACCAAAAAAGTCTTTAATGGACAACTGGTTTGTCGAAACTTTACGTTTTAGACCAAACAGAGCACTTTCCACGTTCAAAATGTTTTCCTCGTCACGTTCACTAATATTAAGCGCATAAAAGAACAACTTCACTTTCGCCAATGCAGCGTGCGCTTCGGCAAAACTCGGCAAAGCTTCGGGCTTGCATTCGTCGTCTTCTTCTTCTTCCTCACCACTCCAACCCCCTTTGCGGACAATAACAGGAAGAATGGAAATACTATTACTGCCGAACTCAACGAAACGTAGCTGTAGAAGACCCCCATCTGGCATCGCTGGAACGAAATATGAGTGCACCCTAATTAAAATCGTAAAATTTCTGACAATGGGCACCGCCATTCACTCCAACTATCACCCCTGCACCGCTGACCCTCATTCCAAAAGAATGTGCTGGTTGGGCGACATAACAGGTTACCGCTACTGTTTATTCCAAAAACATTGTGCGTCTTTCGGTATTAATTTATCTCTAAACCCAGCATTTTAAATTCTCAGGAACGATCATTGCGGGAAAATTGTGGGCCGGGACTACGATTTTTGAACGATCGATGCGATAAAACGATAGTTCGAGGAACGATAGAAGCGGGAAAATGTAACATTATTTTATATGGGATGTATTCGGGACCGAACAAAACGGACGATGCATCCGGGAAAACGATAGTTCCGGGAACGATGGATAGAGGTTTCACTGTATTCATTACATCAAATAAGTGAACACTTTTCACTCTTGTGCACAAGCACATCTTATTTACAAGATTCTTTACCATATATAAAACGTTTTGCTTCTAATGAAACGGAAGTGACAAGATACTGCAAGAATTTAGAACTACAAAGATAATCTCACACCAACAGGTTTCAAGGTATGGTTCTGCAGCAAGTCTGGAACTAGATGGGGGTGAAGGGCGAAGGTATAATGAAACATTCCAGTTTGAGGGTCATCAGTGGCTCCTTGTGGACAAGCAGGAAGGGGTCTATGCTGGTGGGAAAGCTGAGTACACTGGTGTCCGTACATTTGAGGTCTACGCAGATTATCAAAAAGGTATATTTTGTTAATTTCTATTAAATGGCAGCAAAATATATAGCAGAACTACAATAGTTTAACTGAATGATTAGTCTAACAATAAGTTCCTTGCATTTCACTGACTCTCATGTATCTGTTAAGAGGTCAAAGTAGTCTGTTGTCATTTATAATATGCAGTTTCATTATTTTGGTTTACTTTACTTTTAGAACAACCGAAAGAAAGCATAAGTACTCTTACTAATATGAATATCTATTTATTTCTTTGTTATTTTGGTCTTTAAAATATCCATAGTTAGCTAGCAAGTGAAATAGTTTAATGTAAGTTTAGTCAGCCTTTTTGAGTTCTCTGCACGTGCTGACTTAATATAATTTGTGTCTGTCAGGCTGTCTGGATGATGTAAGACTAGAAGGGAAGCATCTTCCTCTGCCCCCTGCAATGAATGGAACGCAGTGGGGACAAGCCACAATGGCACGCAACTTGGAACGGCACTGTCCTTCTAACAAACCCTGTGCCAATGTCATATGTTCTGATCCTTTCGAATGTGTTGACCTTTGGAATGAATATGAGTGCACGTAAGTTTTTATCATAGTAATCTGTATAATACGTTGTGACTGAAATAATTAATTCAGTCCTCATATAAATATGTAGTCTGTAATTCAAAATTATTGTTTTATTGCAAACAGTTATCACAGCCACTTTCAGATAAAGACTTGTTCTTAACTCCTATACACAATTATACCAATGTGAGTAAAAAGACAAGGTGATCTTTTATATGGTTTGATAACATAATTACACAGTAGTTAAAACATAACTTATTTTTGTATATAATCACACTGATTTTCAATTTTTTTGGTTTCATATTTCACAAGTTTCTGATTTCATTGGAATAAAAAATATTTACAGTTGGATTTCAAATCACTGTTTCTTTTCATGATTTATGTGTATTGACAACCTTGACCTCTGTGATTAACAGTTTAGAAATATGTTAGTGTGATATATGTGAGGTTGGACTGCACATATGATGCAATGCAACAATGATAAAGGTTGAAGTCATCTAGAGAATAGTAACCATTCATATTGGAGCAAGGTGACAGTGATGGAAGGAGATCATCAGATTATGTAATGTCTCGATAATTATTACACGCTGGGAAATTTCACGACAGGGATGATATCTGGTAGTCTGTTTTGGCAGGTTCCTCTCTGAAAATACAATTCTCCCATAATTTAAAACACACATGTTGTAAAAATGTGCTTGTAAATGTAGTTTCATAATGTTATATGGTCATTTAAGGTTGAAAATTTGCACATTTTTAAGATTTTAACAGTTTTAATTGGCATTAAGCATTTAATTTAATATACAATATACATGTATTTTTCTACAGTTATAATAATGCAACATCACAGATTAAGTTCTGGGCCTATTTAGGCTACAGGACCAGGTCTGTTTCGTCTGTAGGCATTCTCGCAATCTTATAACCTTTAGTTTGTATGAACACAGTACTTCGGGATTTACCTTCCAAACTTTCTGTCATTAATTTTATAGCCCTTTACTGTGCTTTCTGTGATTTCCAGCTCTTCTCTAGTGTCATTTTCTTAATTAATGACTTGTCATTCTCTATCCTGGGACCGCTCCAAGTATTACTAAATAGAATTTTAGTAACATGCTTGTTGTGGCCAAGTGGTTAGCTCTTCTTTGTGTTCAGTACTTTCCAGGTTCAAATCTCGATCCAGACACTGGCTATCCTGACAGAGGTTTTCCGTGTTTTTTTCCTCAACCCCTCCAGGCAAATGTCAGGATAGTTCTTTAAATTAGACCGTGGCTGCTTCCTTGCATATTATGTTCAGTTCATAACTCATCCTATAATTTGACACTATGTAGTCTGAATTATCGACAGCATTATTAAATAAACTACAAATAAACAAATAAATAGATGTTTCCCTAGTAATGGGCATTTTATATTTCAAAACTGCTGAGATTTTTTTACTTCTATATTAGCATAGTTAGAATATTACCTTACAAAAAAATTTTAAGTTGTAGAAGGGTTTGCTGAAATACAAAGAAGAAAAAACTGAAAAATGTAATATTTCAGTCCATAAATTAATTTAACTCTTAAGTACAGGATCATGTGTTTGCCTTTTACTGTTGTGCAACTGACATAACACATTCCCTGTTACAATGTTAGGCTTGGGAATGCATGTGAAATTGTATGGCTTCTGAACATAACATTACTCATGGCTGCATACAGCTGTGGAGAGGGTCGGATCGTAGCTCCTGATGGAAAAGGCTGTACAGACAAGAATGAGTGTCTCGAGGGCCCATGTCTGAATGGGGGCACATGCATCAACGAGGATCCTCAGCTGCGTTACCGTTGCGTGTGCCCCGAGGGCTTCTGGGGGGAGAACTGCGAATTGCTTCAAGAGGGCCAGACACTCAAACTCAGTATGGGTGCACTTGCAGCCATCTTGGTTTGCCTGCTCATCATCCTTAGTAAGTCTAGCCAACCTGACCCCATAACTTCCTGCATGTGCCTGTTCTGTGGTAAGTAGTATTACCTGGGATGTAAAAATTCAAGCTTCTGTTCTTATCTTTGTGTGGTCATTATAAAGCACTTAAAATTCTCCTAACTTCCAAGTGAATGTCAACAAAAATTAAAATATGTTCAGTCATTTGAGGAATCCAGTTTTAATAATTCTGTTTATTTAAGCCATGCCAACTTTTAACTCTGCCCACAGGTCATAGTTGGTTCTTACGTTAAATTTTTTTCAGTGCCCATCACAGCTTCCTGTGAATGAACTTATTATGCAACCTTATGATCAAAGTTATCATCCTTATAAAAATCAAGCTGATTAATTTTTTTTGGCATTGTTGACTTTAAGACACTTCTAAAACTGAAGCAAGATTTCACTTAGTCTTGACATTCCTGAGTTCTTCACTACAGAACTGTATATGAACAGAGGTTTACATCTTACATCTCTCCTCCCTGCATGTTTGTTTCCTGCTTCTGGTGTTTTCAGTGTCTGTGCTGTGACCTCAGCCTGACCTCTGTGCTGAAGTTTTCACCTGCCCTCAGTCTCCCACCCCATCCCAAGCTAATTGATGTTTATATGTCTGTATGGGCCACTAGATGTCCAGTGGGGTTCCGTGCTCAAGGTGTAGAGTGCGTGAATGAGGATGAATGTGAATGGCACCCCTGCCAGAATGGCGGGCAGTGCCGGGATCATGCAGATGAGCGCCGCTATTCCTGCCTCTGCCCATCAGGCTTCACAGGACTGCACTGTGAATTGGAGCTGCTTGAGTCAGGAATCATTAAACCATCAACAGACTTCATCATAGCCATCATAATCTGTCTGATTTTATTGCTCAGTAAGTTATTTATTTTTTATTTTAATTTCACCATCATTAACACATTTTGTTTTAAATTGTATTGAGTTAGTTCATAAGATTAGGAAATATTTGGCCAAAGAGAAATAGCTTCCTTTTTAAAATTTACTGGTACATTTATAATTCTTGATTCATTGGGAAATTTATGGAAACCTTAGACTAAGTACATACTGCTACAGACAGATGTAAATGTTCATTTCTAAAGTTTATGGTTTTAGTTTACGTGTGGTGAGAAAATTGATTTCTAAGTATGAAAGTTTCACAATTACCGTATCCCGTGTTACTTCATGTCCCATTTCTCATGCAATCAGATTTTTCAATTTTAACAGAAGTTTTGCCATGTCTGTACTCCTTCATGCATATAATATAATTATTTTCTTTGAATGAAATGTGATATCTGTAATAATTAATACACAGTTAAATTCAAGCTGGAAATGAATAGATTCAGACTATTGCCTAGTTTAGTTCTTTTCATAACTTGAGGCCCAAATTATGCATTACACTTAAAATCCCATACTGGCACAAATATTTAACTAATTTGTTCTGTTCAGCAAAGTTAAATTTCATTTATTATTTAATAACAATGATTTGCTATAATACTGAATGAATATCATGTAATTTGTAACTTGAAATGTAAATGTTGTATTTCTTATGTTTTGAACATGTATTTTTTTAGTTTTTACAATTCCAAACATATCTTTTTATACTTTGCAATCCAGCATTTTTCAACAGTGTACAAAAACATGTACCTTCTGTAATTTCTGCAAATGGATAAGAATACTACAGTAGCAGGTAGGTACAGATCTTGTTTGTCTGCTATACAATTTGTCTACATACACCTCTTGTTTTTACACCAAGGAAATAAAGTAACAAGGTATGGCATAATTTTTATAAATTATCTTGGGTGGTTTGTCAGTAATGAGTAAATGAACCAAGAATTGTATGTTAGCTCATAATTTTGGTTCTGGAGAAAGTGCAACACTTTTACTATATAAATGTTTAACATGTATTTAGTATATTGCATATAAAATACTCTTTGCCTGCATGCACATGTGTTTCCTGCTGTTATATATACAACTTTTGAGTGTGATTGCTGGAAAGCCCATATACAAGGTATTTGGGTATATGGAATTTATTAGCATAAAACTTATGTCAGTCTAGTATAAGAGCACCATTGTTATATGAATATGAAAAATTGGTCCCTGAAGAATGCTCATAGAATGTCCATCTATTGTGACAAGGTAACCACGTTGTTGAAAGATTTTAAGTTTTTACAGTAATGTGTAAAAAGAAGATCTTCTGGTTTGTTTCTCTGTGTTGTATTCTGGTTGTGTGTCAAAGTTATGAAGGAGTGTACTGCCTCCACCACCATCAGTTTGATGATGGAGGCAGTATGTAGGTAACAATCAATATCATCTGTATTTCTTGTTGTTCCTTGTGCTTACTAATTGCATTCAGAAAATTTGTCTTATTTGTGAATGTCATGAAGTGGAATAGGAAGAGGTGCCATGTTCATTCTGTATTCAGAGGGGAGGGGAAGAAACTACTCGTTCGGTTGTTTCAGGTCAAAGTCACTGATACATTCATTGACTCCATCTTTTTGCTTACAGTCCTGGTACTGGTGTTTGTTGTGTACAACCGTCGACGTGAAGCGCACATCAAATACCCAGGACCAGATGATGATGTGCGTGAGAACATTATCAATTACGATGACGAAGGTGGTGGTGAGGATGACATGACAGCTTTTGATATTACACCACTGCAGATTCCCATTGGTGGCCCAGTGCCTGAACTGCCTGCTAAATTATCCTGTAAGTCTCAGTTTCCTTATGTAAATTGTAGAGGGGTTAAAGTTTCCCTGTCAGTATTATTAGGGAGCATCTGATAAACATGTTTAATTCCGATAAGATTACAACATACTAAATCATAAATCTTATCTTAATTTTTGTGTACTAATGTTGCAGTTCCTCCAATGGGTCCTGAACCTAATGTGGGTGTCTTCATTGAGGAGCACAAGAAACGAGCTGATGCCGATCCAAATGCTCCTCCTTTTGATGATCTCCGAAATTATGCATATGAAGGAGGTGGCAGCACTGCTGGTTCCCTTTCTTCTCTGGCCTCAGGTTGGCATAATTAAAACTTGCATGTTCAAATAATCTGACAGAACACACAACAAAAACATTACAGATAAATGTAAGGGCTTCTTAATGCACCTGTCCTGGAACTTTCTTAAGCTTTATGTGTATCCTTACTACCTTCAAAAGCAAGCAGACTAACCAGTTACCATTGTCATGAACTTTTGAAACTCTAAATACTTTACTATTACCAATAAAAGTTTCACATTTGATTTCATCAGTTTTGCCATAGTGTGAACACATGCCACACCAGTATACAGGCATGGAATCTCAGTTTCTAATTCTGCTGTTGTATGTTCGGTTTTCTGTTCCTGATTGGCTGAAAGTTTGTTGGAGGTGTGATCAGGTTTTTTGGTGCATTTCCTACATATTTCCTCAATTTTAAGACATACTTTTCTTCACATTTTAAAATTTCTGAAATGGGGGTGCTTCTTACATTTGATGGTTTTGAAGAATCAATATAGTGTATTTTTTCCTGACAAACTGTTACTAAATCAAGGGTTCATCTTACAACTGATGGCGTCCTAAAATTGAGGAAATACGGTATTTGGACCTAAGAGGGAGGAAGGCCCATATGCTGTATGACTAAATCCTAATAGAGAGTAGCTGATGCACCTATAAACCCACTACAAGAGAGAGGAAATGTCGTGAGGATGGAGAAAATTACAGAATATAATCATACAAGCTTCTTAATTTGTGTTCTTTATGAAGTATTGTTAGGGAGACCAAATGGAGGAAAATTAAGTAATCAGGGCATGTAGCAGAAATGGAGGAAATAAAAAAGCATACAGAATGTTGGTTAGTTAACCTAACAAGATAAGACCTAGTTATAATGAAAAGTCTCTAATTTATTGATGTAGCTAAGCAAGTGTCAGCTTCCCAAGGACTGTACTACACACAGTAAGTTATTTCTATATCTTACAAAACAGACATTTGAACATTGTTGAAGCTTGTGTCTTGAAAGTCTTGCTGTGACTTGAAGGCCTCTTGATGGAAGTAGCAAAAACTTCTAAAATATCGGTAAACTTCTACCAGATTACATAGTGCAACAAGCCAGAAAACAGCCATCTTCATGGTGTGAAGTAATGTGATTTTTTCTATGCTGCTGTAGGAACCGATGACAACGAGCAAGACTTTGACTATCTTGGAGCATGGGGACCACGGTTCGACAAGTTGGCAGACATGTATGGACAGGAGGGGGAGGAGAGTGAGGAAGAGCAGTAGGAAGATCAAGAAAGAAGAGCTCCGTGTTTTAGGTTCCCCTCGAATTACACAGCATATACACATACACACATATACTTGTAGAATCCCATACACTTTTGTATGGTGAGTGAGAACCCTGCAGTTTTGTGTGGTCAAGAGAAGAGGCAAGGAATTGGCACTAACATGATCTCATACCTGCACTCCAAAAATCTTCAGCAGCACCTGTTCATTCCCTCTTTTTGTGCCAGTCATTACCTTGTCTCCAGATGTGACGACTTAATATCTTCTACTTAACAGCATACAGTACTGATATTATATGAACCTCTCACTATCCAGAGGTAATTCCTCTGTTTCACCCACATCCTCTCATCATTCATGAAACATATAGGTTACCAACCTTGGAAACAACCGCTTCACTAGTGCTGCATCTCTCTTGTCTGTCATTGTTAAAAGGGCTGCAGTGTCAGTGCCATGCATTTTTTAAGAAAATGCTTGTTTTCTAGGTGGAGTACCTATATTGTCTGTGGGCCTTAAACACTGGGGTTGAACAAATACACTTAGAAAAGGAATTAAGACTGTTAAATGACTCATCGTAATCATGGTGTCATGTGTCATACTGTGTTCTTGGGTATAAGATGAGCATAATGCCAGTATTTACTATAGCATCGTAATTCTCACAAGTCAGGAAACTGTTTTCAGTGTACTGTACATAGCTGATATACTTAGCATAGCTATCTCAAATACTCATGAAAATCACATCCCGTAGACTTATAATGTAAATAGATTGTCGATATTGTGTTGTAATATTTGAAAGCATTTTGCACATAATGATAATCAACAACCGCCAAGTTCACATTTCTCACTTAGTTGGGAGTGCATGAATCAGGTCGACGTATGTCTCACACCACGAGGCTGTCGTGCTCATCTGTCCTCAAAGGCCGCAGTTTTAACTCGGAGTTTTATGTTATGTGCTTGTAAGGTTTGCACTTGTTCCTGATTGGTTGAGTGCATGTGTGCACCTCTAGTATGAATGTGCAAAACTCGATTTATCCAGCATGTGAAGGTAATTCGCATAGCATAGGATTAGTTCTGAATGAAGAATATTTGAGTATGTAAACTGAGTGTCAGTATGCAAGTTAAATACAAATCAAAACAGTAGTCTGTATTCTTTATATTTATTTTTTTTCATCCCTGCCTCGTTTGACAAGGGTTAGTGCCAATAATCAAGGAAATATATAGATCATAAATAAAAAAGTGATGGTAAAAATTTGCGTCAATGTGTCACATTCGTGTACTGACTTGTAGAGTTAGGAAATAATTTTAAGAAATACGAATAAGATACTTTACCATATGTTTGTCATGTTCTGAAACTTTGCTGTAATTACCCCTTTTTTAATTTATGGACTGTGTCAAGTGATTATTACCAATATTAATTTGTATGTGTTACTCATGAATGATGTTGTACTTTCTGTGTGTTTGGTTGAATGCATGTTTTGAGTATTTGAAAATAATAATTTGGCTACTAGATACCAACTTAGCTTGATGACCTCATTTTATGTTGTGGCTAGCTTAGTGTTCTTTGAGTATTGTATTGATTTCCTGGCAGCTTCATCTCTTTGCCATGTTAAGAATAATTCTTCATGGTTCAATATTTTGTCAGCAAGTGTACTAGTTTCTTATAAATGATATTCAGTATTACGTTTGATTGTTTGAATCCTAAGCCAGAATGGTGTATACTTCTTGCCATGAAAAAGCTTTTTGGAGGAAAAGAAGAAATTCATTTTAGATCTGTTCCAAACATTCCAAAAAGTGTTTAAATTTGTGTATGAAGTCACAGTGTGGAACCCAAGTGCAGTGAGTAAGCAATCAGCACTCACACAAGCCTCCAGGATATTTGTGTCAGCCTGAAAAACTACCAAGAGGAGTGAAACGGAAAGGACGATACTTGGACCGATATTTGTAACTGCTCAAAATCCAGTGTACAGTACATCCCTTTCCCATATGTTTGACTCTTTATCGTTCGCATGAAAGTAGTTAAAGTCGCGGCAGATACTGTGGGAAAACTTGGTATCTTCAGTATTTGGTATTCTCACATAATTACATCCCAGTGACATAGTACTGTTGTTAGTTTCAACTCATTATAACAAATCTTTCACTATATTTTCTCAGAGTATTTATAAAGCTGCATATAAACACTGAGATTCCTTTAGCCATAGAATGTTACAACACCTACTTCATGACCTTGCTATTTATATGTAAGCAATTTTAGCAATATTTTTACTGGACATTAGTATCAAAATTGTTCAATATATTATGAACTCAAGTTCTGGGTATCTTTTGGATGAACTGTAGCAAATCAGAGCACTGTTTTTGATTGTATGTCAATATTGCTCAATAAACAAATGCCTGAAGTACCATGCTTCTTGCATTACATGGCAGGGGTATTGGGGAATTTCGGCATATAAAACATTACATTGTGAGAGTTGCAAGATTTGTGAGTGTCTGTCCCTTGTAACCAATTTTCTAGGCTGTGGTCCACAATGATAAGAAATAAGAAAATGGTGTATATGGTTAATTTCTTATCCTTGATTCATTGTGAATGGAGCCTCGATGCATACAGACTAATACACAGGAACACTCCACCCCTCCTCACCCCACACAGGCTCTGTATCACTGCCATCTAGAATGTAAATGTCATGTGTACATGTGTTGTATTTTGTTTGAAGTGCGAACCAAGTTGATGATGAATCCCAGTGAACAGTCATTCACATTCTCCATTTAATTAGAGTGAGTGTTTTCTGATATTATCTGTCATGTTTAGTTATATAAAGAAAATTTGGTTCAATTGCTTTATTTTCTTGTGGATACAACCATTCCT